ATTGAACAATTTGGTTTCATATATGGCATTAATCATATCCGAAGTATATCCGAATGTTTATATAGTAACCGGAAGCATGTTCACAGTTTCAGTCAGTACAGCGTGTGCGGAAAGAAGCTTCTCGAAAATAGCAACTGGTGCAAATTATGATATAATTTAAAAAAAAAAGTGAGTCAGGCTAAAAGTTGAAAAATATATTTATTTTAATTTGTGTTTATTTTAATTTGATTAGCTTTAACTTTCATACATCTTTCGTCGTATTAGTGAATGTAACTTATTTACTTTTATACCTGGGTAATAAAAGGGGCCTCGCAATTCTGATATCGCAGACGTCCAAAGTTGGTCTAACTCCGCCACTGTCACTAATAAAATGGATTTGGGAGTTTACTCCAATCAAACTTGTAGATTTTGTAGGGAGGAAAATGAGACTTCAATACACGTACTAGGAGTTTGATCAGCATAAACCAGCGAAGCTAGTAGCTAGAAGCTATGAAAGCATTTCATTTCGGATAATTCAAAATTGCTTGTTAGTATGTGTATCCTAGTTAATTGTAATAATTAAACGTCTCTGTTTAGAATTAAAATCAGTACTACAAAAATATGTAAAAACAATATTTTGGATGCAGCAATAAAACTCTATTACGTGGGTTCAAAGCTACAGAAGGCCCTATGCTCTACTGCAAGATGAGGATGGCGAAGAAAGCCACAGAATATGAGACACGAAAAAAAAATTTTGGATAAAGAAATAAAACTGTGTGTGATGTTAGTTTAAAACTACGATTTATAGAGGAAGATGGAAGTCTATGAAGGAGGCAAGATAGACCTCTAGGTCGCAAAGCAAATTCCCCCAACACAATAATCACGCAATTGATCAACTCTTAATTACCACATGACAACACAATCACAATACATTAACATCAATTTGAAAAATATTATTTAAAGCAGAAAAGCCATGACCTATTTTTAACCATCGGTTTCAGTATAAATAATGTGTTCCATTTTGACAATAATCGTTTTCTTTCACAAATATGTATACCAGAAAATCTTATCTAGTCATATAAATGACGTTGTAAAATAGTTGTATTCTATTCTGCTATTTTAAAATTAATTATAATGATGCAGTGATATGAAGCCAGAAGCTTCAGTCCATTCTCGAAGTTGAACTACTCCCTTAACCAAATTATTATTTATAGGGCTTCGAACCAAAAACCGATATTATTGCTCTAACGATAACCGCAACAGAACCGTTTATTATTTTTTCTTCAATATACTATAATATAATATACTACACTATATAATATAATATAAATTGACTCTAATTATGCCTTAAATAAGAAATATTTGCAGGAAATATATGTTAACTAAATCATTTAATTTAGAGATATAATGCAACTGACTATTTGACCGAAATAGGAAATAATTTACTAGCAGGTAGTCGTTAAAGTAGTTAAAGTAGTCGTTGATTTTAAATATTTTTCAGCTCTAGTAACCAAAGTTGTCAATTTTATAAAATTGCAATTGCGAATATGTTATTGTTTTATTGCCGAAATTTCATACAAATTTCATTTTCGAAAAAAATTAAATATTTATTTCAAAGAAAAGTCATGTAAATTAGTTTCTACCATAATATTATAATATTATATATAATAGGGGTATTCACACCAAAGCTTCGAACCGAACCGAAAACTAAAAAAAATCGATATTTTTTTCGGAGCAAAAACCGGAACCGAACCGATATATTGTTTTTGTTCGGACCGGAACGGGTCGAAGCCTTGATCATTTATTTCTGATATCTTGTCAATTGGTTACTTCCCATCATTTCAATTTGCCATCGTTTTAAGCTATGCTTCGGCATAAATCTTATGTAGATAAAGATAAATTGTTGATTTTTGCTGGAAGAAATTAGAAACTGTAAAGAAGTACATAGGTATATATAAAAACAGCTAATATCTATAAACATTGAGATTTATTTTTGATTAAAAACTGCGCCAGAATATTTTGATAATTGCATACAATTAAACAGGGCTTGTCTCTCTGTTTCTGATGTAATCAAGTGTAAGGACGATTTTTGAAACTCAGACATATCGATTAAAAAATATCATAAAAATGGTAAGTTTTATAATGTTACGCCTTTAATATAATAAATATTTATCGAAAATAAGGTGTTTTTAAAAATGTTTCTAAAAGGATTTAAAAAAACTACTGAAGTAATAAAATTTAAAAGGTAATGGATCTTCAGTATGACCAATGCCGTTTTCAAAGTTTTGTTTTCCTCTTGCATTTGATTGTTATATTTTCACTTATTTTCACTTCAATTAAAGTATCTTTTTCTTTATCTGTATCTGTTGGTTTCTATGTTGTTTTTGTGGTTATTCCCACGGACATTGCATGATTGCAAACACTCTACCGCAATGCAACGTGTAACTTTCAATTATACGAATACATTTAACTAGCAAAAGTATTTAAGTATGAGAGATAGAAATATATTTCAGAAGTTTTAATGAAATTTTAGCTTCGCCATCTATTCGTTCTCAGTTCACCTGAATTTATATTTAATAAAAGCCTTCAAAAAATTAACATTTACATTTACATGAAACTATGAACGAAAACTATGATGATATACACTTGGTTGGTCAGTTAAGTAATAGACCTTTATACATTGCCTACTTAGCTTATACAGCTAAACACTATTCTTCCACATCAACATTGTAAACTGGAATCATATATTGGCGAAAAGTATATCGAGTTAAACTACAAGACGAGTATTTATAATTATATCCCATTGATTGCTTGGTCCGTCAGGAGAGTATACTAGACTCCTTTTTGTTACTGCTGTACACATATGACTTCCCAGTGCACTAGGGCTGTATTGTCGGAACTTTTGCAAATGACACTGTAATAATGGTTACAGGTCCAAACAACAATGTGTCTACCACTAAGCTACAAACCGCTCTTAATGAATTTGAACAATGGACTAATAAACAGAATCTGCTAGCAAAACCACGTAGACTTTACTAATAAAAAGCAAACTCAAATTCTAACGTAAAAAAGAGCGTAAAAATTTCAGTTACTAATTCTGCAAAATATCTGGGTATGACACTAAATGCCAAACTGGAAGGTACTGGTAAAAAAAAAACTTACTTGGCTTATTGGAAGAAAATCCAAAATATCTCAGCAAAATAAACTCATAATTTACAAACAAGTATTCAAGTCTAAACAAGGCTCTATGGCGTCCAAATTTGTCCAATTATCCAAAATGATCCAAAAAATCATATAATAGGTATGATGTTACAAGTCAGGCTCGTGAAAAATAGATACTTTAATTTTTTTTGCATTGTAAAGATAATTGATTGAATTTTTTGTTATTAATGTATACAATATCAATAATATTAACCTTTAATTTTTAAAACCAAATATTATCAAAATATGCAATGTAAGTTGTGCTTTCTTCTTCCTAAATATAAATTTATTGTACAATTTTATTAGCAGAATTAAATTTTCCTGGTAACAATTCTTTTATAAGTATTTTTAAAATATTAAAAATATTTTACAAAATATAAGACGAATAAAACACTCATTCTTACCACAAATAAAAAATTTTTATAAAAAAATTTCAATAAAATTAAAATTTTTAAAAATATTCCAAAAAGTATGAATATTTTGTTTCTGATTCGAATTTGTTATCAATAATTTTTCATATAAAATTAAAACGTTCAGTTTAATATTAGTTTCAAACATTATTTTTAAAAAATTAATTAACATGCACTTCAACTATTACGAATAGTTAAAAAATATTATTAAATTAAATTAAATTAAATTAAATTAAATTTTGAAATACATATATATCATTAAAAATAATTTGTTTTAATTTGGATTTATCATTAAACTTTACTTAAAATTTAATTTTATTGAGTGCTGTTATTTTCATAAATATTTTAAAAAAAAATTAATTAATCGCTTAGCTATCATCAAGCCCCTGCGTACGATATACCCGAAATCTTAATCCTCACACACGAAAGAATCCAATTACCGTAACCATGTTCTACATTTAGAACAAATGGTAATGGAATGTGAAGACTTTACAGAGGCTTCTTTCAATACGAGAAATTAAATATGGTCTATTTACTTAGTCTGTTTATCCATTAAATTATATTATCCCTTCCTCAGTTATATAAATCAGTTTAATGAGTTAAGCTAAAATTAAATTACATAAAATTATTCTGGATTCTTGTGAAAAATCCACTCGTCTCTCTAAGCAACAAGTTAATGATATACAAGAAAATGTTAGCGGCGGTGTGGACGTATGGAATCTAATTATGGGAATGTGCGCCAAAATCATCCATTCAAATCATATGAAACAAAAAAAAATTTTAAGAAATTTAGTTAACGCTCCATGGTTCATTAGGAATAGTGCTCTCCATCGAGACTTCAAGATCGAATCCTTTGATGTAGTAATACAAAAGTTTGCGGTAAGGCACCAAAAATGGTTACAACAGCACCCAAACGAGACAGCCTATCATCTGTCTAATACATCTACCCTGCTGAGAAGACTTAAACAAATCAAGCCTTCAGCTCTACTCCCAAATTAGTAGTCTAATAATAATTTAGATTACTACTTTATTAGCACTAAGTCTTTGACAACTTAACAATTGTAAAACGTTTTATAAAATATAACAAAACAGCTTGATAGTTCTCTGCACTTGAACTAGTCGTAGTCCAATGAAACATGTATTTATTTCAATATACGTATTATATTTCAAATAGTAAAAAAAAAGTTATATATATCTCAAAAAATTATTTATTCGTACATTATTTTAGGGAATGATCCGGTTTAAAAAAATACTAAATATAATATATAAGAGTATTAAGCATGTTGTGGAAAATAAAAAATAAAATAAAATACAACAAAATAAAATAAAAATAAAATATTAAAAAATAAATAAATAAGTAAATTACAATAAAATAAAGTAAGCAATATTAATTAAAAATAACAATTGTTTGTTTATTTTTTAATAAGGAAACAAAATGCGTAATATGTCCTCTTTGGTTTTGCGCTTCGTTTCAGTGTCCATATCATTTATCTTTGATGCCAATATCTTTAAAAATATGTCATCCTCAACATCGATATTTTTGGAATCTGCGCCAACAGTTTCTTGCTTATCGTTCTTTTTCACTGTATCCATTAATTTCGGTTTCTTAGAATTGTCAAACTGCGGTGCGACTCCCGATAGACTTTTACTAATTGCATAATGTTTAACCACAACAACTGTTTCTATCTTGCAATCAGTTTTGTGCTTCATACATAAGGGCTCTTTTTGAACATCCATTTCATTGATATCTTCCTCAGTTATATTAAATTCCAAAGCTATTGCATGTGGCCATTCCTTTCTTGTGCGAACACCCTCAATACCTAAATGAGGTAACAAGAAAGACATTTCATCACCATATTTAAAATCAAAATTTTCGCAAAAATTTTGGAGTAACCCATGCCAGTGGTCTCTGATAACTTTTTCTGAAATTAAAACATTTGTTAAAGCAATGTAAACAAAGAATAATTCAGTTCATCTTTACCTGGTATTGCAAACATCTTTTCTAATTTCTTCCAAACTCCCACTATTTCTCCTAACGGACCATTTTTCTCATATATCGCTGGATACATTTTTATAGCTTCAATTATTGCAATGTTAATATCCATATTCTTATAGCCACTTTTGACAATCCGCTGTTAGAGTGCTTTCACATATCAACAAGTCAAAACTTGCAGCAATTGTGTTCCAATACAGGGAACTAACAACTCACAACTGACGATTCACAATAGTATTGTATATTCACAGTGCACAATGCATAGTTATACCAACAAAGATAAAGAAAAGAAACTGAGAGTTACTCGAAATATTGTGTATAAATTTTTCTGATTTATTCAAATAATATTCAAAATTTTGTGTAATGAGGTGAAAATATTACGCAGTAGAAAAACAAAAAGCATTAATGCTACATAATGGCGTGTGAATATTTTCCCCACCCGGTCTAGTTAATTTTGCCCACTCGGTCCCTACTCACCACGATATTTGCTAAAGTAAGAGCACTTTCTGAGAAATTTCGTTGTCTGTTTTGGTTCGTTGATATTGAAAATCCGTTACGAGAAAATGCGCCAAAGTTGCAATTAAGTGCACAAACACGACTTTATTGAAAGAACATTGTTGTTTTCATTTACAAAAACATTACAAAAGGTAATTATTTTTATAATATATATATAATAATTATATATAATAATCTATAATTATAATACTATTATAGATATAGATATAGATATAGATATAGATATAGATATAGATATAGATATAGATATAGATATAGATATAGATATAGCTATAGATATAGGTGTAGATATAGATATAAATATAGATATAAATATAGATATAGATATGGATATAGATATAGATGAAGGTATAGATGAAGGTATAGATGAAGATATAAATAAACATACATATGTTTATAGATATAGATATAGATATAGATATAGATATAGATATAGATATAGATATAGATATAGATATAGATATAGATATAGATATAGATATAGATATAGATATAGATATAGATATAGATATAAATATATTTATAAATATAGATATAGATATGGATATAGATATAGATGAAGATATAGATATAGATATAGATGAAGATGAAGGTGAAGATATAGATATAGATATAGATATAGATATAGATATAGATATAGATATAGATATAGATATAGATATAGATATAGATATAGATATAGATAAAGTTTCGAATTTTGAACATAAACAATTATGCTTTCAACACTTATAAGAAACACAAAAGTGTTCAAACTATTTAAGTGATTTTTTGCTTAAACATAAAACATTTTAGTTTTTAACTGTATTTTTTATTAAATTTATTTATAATGTATATTAAATTTAATAGTTCCTTATTATTTTTAGTTTCATATTAAATATTTTTAGAATAGTAATATTATTTTGTATATATTAAGTTATTCTAAATTGCATTTACATAAAATTGTATATTTGTTAAATAAAATATTTTGGTGGATAGACCTATCGGGGAACCGAACACCTAAAACTCGGTAACGCGTCAGCAAGCATACCTCTTAGGTGGTGCGGAAAATGCTTATATATTTTATATTTCTTCTAAATCTCCGGACTTTATGCAATGAAATTGATCCTTATTCTTTACAATGTTGTTATTAACTAGTTAAGAATTTCTTAAATTTTATATGCAAAAAACATTTCACCTTACTGAAAGGATTGCTTAAAACTACAAAAAATATGTTGTAGTAAACAGCGTATAATATACCAAATATACCAAACTTTTTTAAATTTTAAAAAATTATATTAATATTTATCGTTTTAAAACAAAATATTAAAACAATATAACTTAAAACTCGAAATATGTGAATACATAATAACTTCTCTATTAGATGCTAACTTTTCCTATAAATGTATTTTTTAACAACATATTTATAAATATATATTTATATATTTATATAAATATATAAATATATTTATATATATATTTTTATTTATATTATATTTATATTTATATTTATATTTAGTGGAAGCTCAGAACGAAAATGTCATGATAATAGGTGACTTCAATGCACGAATAGGCAAAGAACAATGTCTGGAATTCAGCCCAAATATGCAGTGGACTGAATTATTGGGCCACAGAGTAGCAATGGATACAATTGTAGATAGAAATGGCAAACAGTTACTAGAAATTTGCAATTCATTTGGTGTCACCGTGTTAAATGGCCGCACTAAAGGCGACAGAGAGGGTACATTTACGTTTATCAGAGGTGTAGCAAGGTCAACGATAGATTATTGTTTTGTGAAAGGAGTATGGTTAATAATAACTGAAGAGTTTCAAATACGTGACATGATATACTCGGATCATCAACCACTGGAAATTATGGTAAATCTAGATGCCTCTAATTCAAATGAAAATAAAATGCAGCTGCTGCCGAAACTGATATGGAAAGATAAATATAAAGATCTGTACCAAGAAAAGCTTGAAGAATCGCTTAATGCATGCGAAGGTAGTACATTTGCGTCGAAGGAAGGAGATGACATTCTTCAATATTGTGTAAAACAAGCAGCAAAATCGTTTCAGGGTAATTCGGTGGGTATAAATAGGAAACAAAAATGGTATGATTTTGAATGTGAAACTGCAAGAAAGAAATCATTTAAATGGCTCAAAACAGTTAAAAAAGGTGGTGATATAGCTGATTTAGAGAAATACAAAAATGTAAACAGAGAATACAAAAAGCTGTGTGATGAGAAAAGGAAGTCATATTTCAATGAAATGGCAATGTCGATATCCCAAGCAGCTGATAGTAAATCATTTTGGAGTGGAGTTAAAAAAATAAATCGTGCAGATTACATAAAAGGAATTAAAGTGGACGCCGAAGCTTTGGCGGCACATTTTAAAAACCAGTTAAATAGCAATATAGTAAACAAGTCTTTCAGTTATGCCCTGCCGTATGTAATAAATGAAGCGTTAGATGCTCCAATAAAGATTGAAGAGGTCTATGCAGTGCTCCAGAATTTAAAAAATAACAAAGCCGCAGGTGAAAACAGAATTCCAGCTGAGTTTTTAAAATATGCCACGCCACAATTTATAGAGCATATGGCTGAATCATACAATCATATATTTGAAAATGCAGCCCCACCTGATAGTTACAAAAAAGCCATAACATTTCCCCTATTTAAAAAAGGTGACCCAAATAATGTAGCAAATTATAGAGGAATAGCATTTCTTAATACATCAGCTAAAGTCTTTACAACACTCCTGTATAACAGAATTAAAAATTGGGTTGATCAAAATAACATATTAAGCGAATTTCAAGCTGGATTTCGAAAAGGTTACTCCACGGTAGATAATATTTTCGTCATCACTAGTGTAGCGCAAGAGTTTATTGCAAAAAGCAAGAAGTTATATGTTTTTTACGTAGATCTTAAAGCTGCTTTCGATACAATACAAAGAAACGTACTATTTTACAAACTAAGCCAGCTGGGTCTTTCAACAAAAATTTTGAAAATACTGCAAAGTCTATACTGCAACAATGAGTCAACAGTATGGGACGGAAGAAGTACATCGAGATGGTTCCAAACGTGTACCGGAGTGAGACAAGGTTGTGTCTTAAGCCCTATATTGTTTGCACTGTTCGTTGATGACTTAAGTAACTTTCTTTCTGGTGGTGTTACGATTGCCAATATGTGCCTAAAAGTACTATTATATGCTGACGATATTGTGTTGTTTGCAGATTCTCCAATAATGTTACAAAATATGATAGATGAATTAAATAGATATTGCAACTTATGGGGACTATCTATAAATACAGACAAATCAAAAGTGATGGTATTTAGGAAACATGCTAGAAGATTGAGAAATGATGAAAAATGGTACCTTAACGATGATCAATTAGAAGTGGTTAATAATTATAAATATTTAGGAATAAATATGAAATATAACGCAAAATTCGATAACCACTTGAACGAGAAGTTAAAGGAAGCTAAATTGGCTATTAATTGTACCTGGATAAATGTCTTAGGAAATCCGAAAGTGTCACTGCTCGTAAAATACAAAGTTTTTGAAGCCACAGTTAAGTCAGTTCTAAATTATGCAGCGCAAATCTGGGGTGTTGATAAATATGACGCAGTAGAAAAATTGCAGACATTTTATATAAAGAGAAAGTTTCGTTTGCCGAAAAATACCCCAAATTATATGGTGCATTTAGAAACTGGTCTACCGACGCTATATACCCAAACATTAAAATTGCATTTTGATTACATCAATCGTGTTAGGAATTTTCCAGACAATAGGATTCAAAAAACATTAGCGCAGTACCTAATAAATGAAAAAACATTATTTTTTGAAAAATGGTCAAATCTGGCATCCGAGTTAAATATAACTAATGATTTGAGTATTAATGAAAACTGGAAAATGTGGCAAAAAAATTATAATAACGAAACTAAGTATTGAAGAACGTAGAAATTTTGTAGAAACGGCAAGAAACAGTATATCGAGAGATGCATATAGTAAGTTGAATTATGATCTAGGTGTCAATAATTACTTTCACGAGCAATATGACCTAGAAACAA